CCACGTTCGAAGGAACTCAACGCCGTGTCCGAACAATTTGACGAAGTACGCCTGCCGCCTGGGATTGCTGCCGTTCCTTCCAGGTTCGCGCGCGCAGCCAAGGAAGGAGAGGCTCAATCATCACGCTTGGTGGTGCAGGGCTTTTTTGAACCAGGTCTGAAAATCACGTCAGTGATTCCCCTGCACTCAACAGAAATTCTGTCAAATTTTTGCCGTGGTTGGCCGCTTCGCGCGGATGGGCGCCGGAAGCGAGGGGCGTGCGACAAGCGTTCTTGCAAGCCGAGACCGACGCCGATCCATACTAATTACGACAATTCCCCCGTCTTCTTTGTGCCGCCCAAGAACGTGCCAATCTGGCCTGGGTTCGCATGGACGTTGCGCAGGGGGAAAACGTCGCGCGGTCTCCGCAGGGCGCCGCGCGCGCGGTTCTTCCACATGCGCCGTCTTTTCCTGGAGCGCGGCGTCCAGCAGTCAATTTTGGGGCCCCGCGTGTTTCTTCACTTCGAAGACGGCCGTGTCACAGTTTATGTCGGGCCCCATGTCGACGACGCCCTGTTGGCAGGGGAGAGAAAGTTTTGGGGTGTCATCGGCTCGATACCCCTCGCATGGGGCACCCAACAGAAAGACGACTTCACTTTCTGCGGCTTGCACGTCTCAGTACAACTTCCGCGGGTCTCTTTAAATCAGAAAGAGTACTGCCGTTCCCTGGCGTTGATATCCGCGCCGCCGCACCGCCCCCAGCACCCCGGCGCCCCCGTGACAGGGCCAAAACGCGCTGCGCTACGAGTTGCCCTCGTGGCGCCTTCGCTTGTAGTTCTCTTGCGTCCAAAGTGCAGTGTGCAACAGTGTCCGCCCTCCTCGAAGCCAACAAGAACGCTAAAACGCTTAAGGGGGAAATCGGATTTTGTATCTTGGGCCGGTGGATCGTTCTAAAAGTCTGCGCGTGCACCTGCAGCGACTCGTCCACGGGCAAGCGCCCGCAACGAGGCAACCATCTTCAGCGGAGAAACGATCCCAGAGGGTGCATGTCCCATAGTGCGTGTTTATCTTTATCGCTTGGCTTCCAAAGCAGCAGACGAGCTCGAAAACGCCGACCCTCATGATGTACAGTGATCGCCACGCCTTGCTGCCGAAAACGACTTTGATGTGCAGTGTGCGACGCGGAAAAGGATTCAAGAGGCCACATCACAGAAGAAGCTGTGATTCCATCCCTTAGTCGCAACAGGGAGGTTTGTGTATAGGTTGGCAAATAACAGCAGACAACACAATTTTTCTTAGAGAATTGTCTTGGGTACATGATGCCAGTATGGTCGCGGATCCGCTCACCAAGCTCAGCAGCAACCAATCGAAAACCCTGGATCCGATGAGGTCATGTTCGATCGTTTTGCGTTCGGCCGCGAGGCCGACAAACGCTGTTTTTTTCTGTTTGTCGCGGCCTGTTGCGGCTCAAGGTGGACCGCCGTGCTGTGGGTTCCTGGCCGGCGGAAAGCTAGAGTTCGCTATGATTGCTACTGCTGTCATTGGCGCTCGGCCCCGGCTTCGTGCGGTGCCAGGGACCACGAGCAAGGCGTCTGCTCCGGCGCCTCCGCCGTGCCAACCGCCTCCAGCACTTTCGCCGCGCCGGCCACCACCCACAGTGCCGACGCCGCCACTTTAGCAACAGCTGGCCGCTGTGCCTGCCCGCAAGATCAATTCGATCGAGCGCCATTCGGTCACAGAGAGCATCCGGAGCCTTCGGTCCGAAGTGCCTGCGCTTCGCCGGGCGCAGGGCCACCAGTGCCTCGATCGGCCAGGGCAGGCAGAGAGGGCGGTGAGCCTCTCGAGGCAACCTGTGCACGCGCAGCAGAGGGACAACGTTTTGACATATATGTCTATATATGTATATACATGAGCAGGATAAGCAGCTTCGGGAAGTTGGCGAGCGTCGAAAGCAGAAGAATCATCATGTTCTGCACCCCCGAGATGTTGATCTTTGCGGACAGTGAAGGTCTCTCCGCGTACTCCGGGACCGCGAGAGATCCAAGAGAAAGCGCGCCCAGATCAGGCTGGAGGCGGCGAGAAGGGCCATGCAATAGCGAGGTCTGAGCCCACACCGCTTTTCCAGTTCTCCCGTCTCGCCTGCAAGAGGTGAACCCTCCTTTTTCAAGTCGGGCCCCGGCGGGGGGAGGCAAAGCCAGGCCCTTCGCGGGTCGATGTGTCTCCATATCCTAGTTGTGACAGTGACGCCGAGACGCTCAGCTGCGACGGCAACGACAAGGGGAACACCCCGAGCAGGCGCGAAGATAATCGTGCTGCCCAAGCAGCCTCCGACAGGGAGGCGAAGGACTGGCACGGACTCTTCTCGAAGACCACGGACAGCCCGAAGCTGAGGCTTTCCACAGGCCGGAACCGGAAGCGCAAGCCCCCGAACCAGGCCCGGCGCAGGAAGCGCTTTGACAACCGGAAAGCAAAGAAACAAGCTAAGGCGGAAGCACAAAAGGCCGCAAAGACAGCCCCTTCCTGAACTGAACTGAACCCTCCCTTTCCTAGCTGCCTTTCCTCTTGTGCAGGAACAAAAAGAAGAATGGTGAGGTTGTCAACCGTCCATCCTTTCACCATTTCGCTGTCTTACCTCCGGCTTCATCCTTCTCGCCTCGTCTCTCCGTTTCCCCCATCCATCCCTGCTTTTCCGCTGCCGTTTGGGGCCCTTGAGCCAGGGCCCCCCGGAAAAGAGCGATCGACGATGCGATCCGAGCCGGTCCTCGATCGACATCTTGCCCCCTTCCCCTCGGTGGCCTCCGCCAGGGTGAGTACCCGTGGACACCGCGGATACTTTGCGGAGGTCACCTCTTAGCTGTCCACCCAGCCGCTCGTGCGTCGGCGTCTAGTCTCTCTCGAAGTCGCTATACCCCTGAGATCGCCCTGAAGCGTGTCGAATCGGGGATCGACTGACCCCGGTCAATCCAGACCAGGGTCAGTCAAGCTTTGCAGGATCCTGGAAGATCCGGCGCTCTGACTGACCCCAGTTTGCATCGACCCCCCTCTCTTGAGCCCCGATCGAGCAGAGTCGGGTCGCTGGACTCTACAGTCAAACAGTATAGTAAGGATGCACGATAAGGATACAAGGGCCTTGGAAGGCCACATCAAAGCTTTTCGAGCGGAGAGTGGCCGACGAAAGCGGCGAAGGATGGACCGAGGAGGCAGGGATGCAAGGGTACCCTTGGGAAGGTTGCCCGTCCTTACTATTCGGGTTGACTCTACCAGAGCGTCCCGGCGCACTCCCAAGCACGTGCAACTCACCCGCGTGAGCTTGCCGAGGAGGGCGGGCGAGCTCCGCCAACCGCGGCGCGGCCCTGCCGTGGCAATCTTCGTGCCGCCCCTCGCATTTCCGCACAGTCGGCGGCGAGCGAGGGGGGGGAAGTGAGAAGGAAGCCTTCTCAGAAGGCGGCGGGACTTCTCGGAAACCCTCGCGCCTTCTGAGACATTTTCCGTGTCTTCGGGGAAGGCCGGGAGAACTTCTCAGAAGGCTGAGGGACTTCCGAGCCTTCTGAAAAGGCCCACCCCTTCTGACTTCCCCCCTGGGCACGCCGCCGGCACAGGAACCTCCAGCTAGAGCCTGGGAGGCAAGGCGTGCGGACAGATCAGCGGGTAATGCCTTCACTGCTGCTTGCGAGGCGTTTCGGCTTTCAGGTCGACTCGGGGAACATTCAGAGAGCTCGAGTAAGACGCCAAGATGGTCTCACGACGGCTCAAGGAGCGGCCTTTCGGGAGAGATCTGGGGAGCCATCGCGCCGAATACAGCTCCGCGATACCCGACTGCCTCTCAACGGGCCCCCAAGTCGGCCCTGAGAAGTCCCCAATAAGCCCGCAGTGAACTGCCAAGGTGCCTTCAAGAGGGAGGGAGATGGCGAGAAAGGAGGCGAAAGGAATCAGAGAACGGGGCTGTGGATACGGAGGGTGTGATCGAGATCCACGCTGCGCTGGCACGGTAGCGGGGTCTGCTGCAGGAATGGCCGGGGGGTGAGAAGGCTTGTGAGATGTTTGGCTGTCACCCCTCCCCCTTTCCCTTTCCCCTGGGGTCCAACATCGCGTTAGAGGGAGGGGCGAGGGGGCACGAGCTCGTCAACGTGTCCCAGGGCCTGCAGAGCCTCCCAATTCAGCCTCCGTCGCCTCCAACATGCCCAAGAAGCTTTCCAATACGGCGCAAGAAGGGCACCAACACGCCCATATGGCCTCAAACGCACTCAAGATGGCCCCAAGACGGCACAAGACGCCGAAAGAGGACCCCAAGAGGACTCCCTGGAGGGCCTCAAGGGGCACAAATCATTGATATTGCTCTGGTTGGGCGCGAGAGGCCCCCCAGACTGGCCCCAGAGGCCCCCAATACAGCCTAGAGGCGACCCACGAGGGCGCCAAGACAGCCCACGAGGCCCCCAGACGGCAAAGAAACCTCACGAGGACTCAATAGAGGTTCAAGAAAAGCCCGAGATGGGGAACCCACACGGACCCCTGCGAGCCCTCTCCCACAAGAAAGCCCAACACCATTCGTGGATCTGGCGCCCTGTGCGCCTGATCAACGGCTCGGCGGGAAAACTGACAACCCAAGCACGAAGCCAGTGCCGCCTGACTCGGCGGCGGAGCGCCCCGATCTCGCAAGGCAATGGGGACCCGTCGCCAATCTACACGCCTGAATCCGTGCCTGCACCTCCTGGAGTGGACCCTCCCCCTCCTCCTTCGCCCTCCTCTCCATTCTCCCCCTCCTCTCTTCAGCTCCTCCTCCGCCCCGCCATCCCCCCCCTCTTCTCCTTCGCCCTGCTCCTCTTCAATTCTCCCCCTCCCCTCCTCAGCTCCTACTCCACCCCGCTATCGACAACCAGCTGGGGTGACCCCCCTCTCCTCCTTCGCCCTTCTCCCCATTCTCCCCCTCCCCTCATCAGCTCCTCCTCCGCCCCGCCGTAGGAGGAGGTGGAGGAGGAGGAGGGGGAGGAGGGGGAGGAGGAAGAGGAGGAGGAGGAGGAGGCGCTCCTGGTAGAGCTGGGAACTCTTTGGCGCCGGGATGCTGTCCAGTCTCTTGCGGAGCTGCTCCTCGGCGGCAGGCCCGCCGTGCCGCCAGTGACGGGGCAGGGCGATGAAGGACACGAGCGGGAGAGCAGGCGGGGGGGGGACCTGCACCGGACCTGGGGAACGGAGCGTGCCCATGCTCCAATCGACAGCCGGAGCAACCTGGACGGGGTGCAGCATCCTGTGGCGAGTCCGCGCCGCGACTGCGGACAGGCGGGCAGGGAACGCCTGAGTCATGTCCCCACTCCCATGTATCCCACCCGTCCCACAAGTGGCAAGACACAGAGGGGATGGGGGAGGGCTGGAGGGAAGGAGGAAGAGACTCGACAGTACCTGAGGAGAGGAGTCCAGCTCCTGTGACGCTTAAGCGGTCAGTGGCGCGCACGGTAGCGAGAAATAGCGTCAGGTGCGGGCACCCGAAGGGGCAATCAACGGCGCCACAGGTGTGGATCCTGTAGCTGTTTGCCCAGCCGCCTGCAAAGGTTTCGGGCAGAGACCATTGCCAGACATCACAAGCAACGCTTCGAGCTGCGCCCACCGCTCCCCCATCCCGCCCACTGACGCTGATAGACGATTACATGCAGACAGGCGTTTGCAAATCGTCATTTCAAACGTTTGAGGGAGGAGGTTCGAACACAGAAAGATCGAGTAGGGGCTCGTCTGCAGAATCGATTGATCCCACATGTTTTTTTGCGTCGAATCCACGAAACAGGCTACGTCTTTGTTGCAATCTCGACGAGGACGTGAAGTTTGGGGTGATTCAACTCTATAGTCGATCCCCTGCTCGAGCAGAGGGAGAGCGTGCGCTGGGGTTTGGGCTTCCTGGCCGCTGCAGCCGCAGACCGCAACTCCAGTGCCTGCAGATTTTCACATCCTGCTCGGGACGCCGCGGCGCGGCGGGGTACTGCTTTGAGACAGGCGCGCCCAGAAGCACTGCGTCTGGGCTTACAAGTGGGAGCGTTTGCACCGCTTCTTTCAAGGTGTCGAGATCGGCTGCCCAATTCGTGACAGTGTAGGTAAAGCAACTCCGTTGAGGGGCAGCGTTCGCGGGGGATGTCTCACGGGGGGGGAGGGGGGAACATCGAGCGCCAATTGGCTATGCCTCGCCGATGAATCGGCCATAGGCCCCTGGAAGCGAAACCGTACTTTCCTGGGCGGGGTTGGCTATTGGGCCCATACTGGCGATGACTGGGCGATCGGGAGTCGATGCGAACCCACAACCGCTAAGCGCGAATAACTTTGCGCCCTCGAGGGCGCCCTTGCTTCCTTCCTCCCTCCCCCTGCGCCTCCATCTTGGACACCTCACCTCCCCTCCCTCCCTCCCCCCCCCGTCCCGCCTCTCCTCCCGGTCCCTCTACAATTACTCAGTATGAATACTACTCTCCCTCTTCCCCTGATGATGGTTTGAAAGTGCTCGACCCCCCCCCCCCGCGTACTGTTTTTTTTACACAGGGAGGCTTCCCCGGAGTTTGGTTTTCGCCTGCGTTTGTTTTCAAAATTCTGCTCTCGCTGAGGCGCCAGCCTCATTTTCGGGCCCCGCTCGTTCCGAATCGTGCTCCCGCTGCAGCGCTGGCCTCATTTCCGTGCTTCCGCTCGTTCCCAATCGTGCTCCCGCTGCAGCGCTGGCCTCATTTCCGCGTTTCCGCTCGTTTCGACTCGTGCTCCCGCTGCAGCGCTGGCGTCATTTCCCGTGCCATGCCACGGCATGCAATGCAATGCTAGGTTGATACTACGCTTTGCAGTACTCTTCTACGCCATGCCATGCCGTGCTCTACAATGCATCGCGTACCCTTTCGGGATCATTGCCCTGCTCGACATCCGACTGTGCGAGTAGAGAGGGGATCTACGCCATGGTAAGGGATGGGAGGGAAGGGTAGGATGTCAGATATGACGCGAGCGCACCTAGCTTGCCCCCTCCCCCTCCCGCCCTCACCCTCCCCTCCGCGCCGCGGGCAGTGGGCTCCAGCGGTAGCTCCTGCGGCGCGACGCCCGTGCCGCCTGGCGCGGCGCGCGGAAGGGGTGGGGGGAGGGTCGCCGTCGGGAATCTACTGACCCGGGTCAATCCAGACCCGGATCAGTCGGGCTTTGCAGGATCCTGCTAAGACCCTGCGGGATCCTGCACCCAAGCCCTGGTCAATGCCGCCACCCTGGCGATGCAGGACCCTGCAGGATCTGGCGCTCTGACTGACCTCCGTTTGCATTGCCCCCCATCTCCTGAGCCCTGACGCCCTCGCCTCGCGCCTCGCCCGGCGCCCCACGCACGCGCGCGGAGGGCGCGGAGGGCCCAGGAGCGCCCCAAGAGGGGCCCAACAGGGCTCGAGCTAAACGGTGCTTCGCTTTGTTTTCGTCTTCCTTTGCTGCAAAACAAGATCAGAACGAAAACGGTCCACGAAACAGCGAAAACACTGTTTAGCCCGTTCCCTGGGCCCCAAGACGGGTCCGAGAGGGCCCCAAGAAGGGCCCAACGAGGCACCCGGCAAATTGTGTGAGGATGTCCCGGGCGGAACCGCCGATGCCGACCGAGCTTGGTCAGAATGGAAAGACGAAGCCAAGGTGAGGACGAGGATAAATAGAGAATCTTTGAGATCCGGCGGCTCTGGAGGATGTCTCGGGCGCCGAAGTCTTTACAGAGCGTTCCGGAACGCTCTAAAAGCGTTACAGAACGCTCCCCAAGATCGGCGGCGAGCGAGGGGGGGAAATGAGAAGGAGCAGGCCTTCTCAGAAGGCTGCGGGAATCCTCAGGAGCCCTCGCGCCTTCTGGAGAGGCTTCCTGCGTCTTCGGGGAAGGCTCAGGACACTTCTCAGGAGGCCGGGGGACCTCCAAGCCTTCCCAGAAGGCCTCCTCGCCTCCGCCAGTTGCGCAGGCAGGGGGCGGAAACTCGGAAACTCCTCCTCCTCCTCCTCCTCCCCCTCCTCCTCCTCCTCCTCCTCCCCCTCCTCCTCCTCCTCCCCTCCCTCTCACTTCCCCCCCTCGCTCGCCGCCGACAAGAGGAGCCCAGAGGTGGCCCCAAGAGGAGCAGCACGAGGCGCGGAGGGCGCGGCTCGAGCAGTGCAGCGCCGACTGCTCGTCGCTCGCCATGGGAGGGCCCCCGTAGGCCCAGGCGCGGGCCAGGACCTCCCAGAGAGATCGGGCCCACGTCTCCGACGACACGGTCCGTCCAATCCTGGCGGTGTCCCCCGATTGTGGCCCCTGGGGCCGACGGCGGGTCCCCGGGGCCACGAATGGAGCAGGAACCGACCGTCCCGGCACCTCTGCAGGCCTACCACGACATGTTCCTGGAACCCAGAAGTGTTCCAAGAACGAAAACAAGGTTGTTAGAACATAAGAGCCCGATGTGTCAAAACAGGTCAGACAGACTCAGCCAGAACTGTTCTAAGAACATCTCGTGCAAACCACAAGAGGTTCTTAGAGCATTCTTTCGCGGGCCTATAGGCGAGCCAGGACGCTTCGCCACTGCTTGAATGAAACATGAATCGGGGCGCCAACCGTACCCCTGGAAGAGGGGCCGCACACTGAAAAGTCAGATCGCCCTTTGGGGGAAACCTGGAGGGCCTCTATAAGCCACACTTCTCCCAATTCGGGATAACGCCCATGACTTGCCCCGCCCCCCCCCCCCTCCACCCCGCCCCGGGTGGAGTCGCGCCGTCTGGGAATGAGCCATTCCGAAGCATTCCCAGACCCAGACGGCGCTGGCGCGAATCCCGACGCGTCCCTACCCCCACCCCGGTCACGCCCGTTCTTCGGCGGCGCGCGAGGGGGGGAAAGGAGAACCAGAAGGCCTTCTCAGAAGGCGGCAGGGCTTCTCAGAAGCGCTCTGGCCTTCTGCAAAATGTCTTGCGTCTTCGGAGAAGGCTCAGAAAACTTCTGAGAAAGCCGGAGGACGTCCGAGCTTTCCGAGCAAGCCCGCCCCTTCTCACTTCCCCCCAGCCCGCCGAGACCAGGCTCCCGCGCGGGCCGGGGCCTCGGTGGTTGCCAGAGGCGGTCCTGGTCCAATGGCGGCCCCACGCAGAAGGCGTTTTCAGTGCGTGGTCGGCTTCTCGCTGTGTGGCCCACCCAAACGGAGAAGCACGGCAGCCCAAAACATACACAAAACGGCTGCCAAAAACGAAATTGAACTGACAACGGCGCGAAAGAGAATCCTTGAACGACAACATGATTGACTCACGAACCAAGAAAGGAATATAGACATGTGAAGCATGGCGACGTTTTTTAAACACCTGATCAAGCGACGGGCAATTGAATTGCTGAGTATATCGATCTTGATGTACCGTGCCAAAAGCTATGCTGTGCTGCGCCGTGCTGACCTGCGATGTGCCATGCCGCGATTGTGCTCTATAGCGTTGTGGATCGAGCCCTCCTTTGCATCCGTCCTGGCCGAAGTGATCTGGATCTTACGCTCTAGCTGCCTGAGCCTACAGTAGCTGCCACAGAGCTACCTGAAATCGAAACGTGCGGGATGTTCAATCAATTCGACCTCAAAATCCGACTCGGCTTCGACACAGAGTGACACGACACGGAGCACAGGCTAACGGACGCGCCACATGATATGCCAGGGGCGCAATAGGGGATGCGCCAGGGGGCGTGTCAGGGGACGTGCCCTGGACGTGTCAGGAACCTGCCACGGGACGTGCTAAGGCGCGTGCAATAGGGCAGCCAGAAGACGTCATGCCAAAGGACGTTGCAAGAGGCGCGCCACGGAACGGGCAGGGGAAACGCCTGGGGACGAGCCAGGAACCCGACAGAGGACGACCTAGGGAACGTGCCACGCCGAGTGGCGTGCTAGGGGACGTGCCAGGGCACGTCACGCCAGAACGTTGCAAAGAACGCGCCAGCGGACGCCACACAGACGGGCGGGGTTGGACTGCGATGCACTCTACTGCGACATGCGTTTCGCTCGAGACCCCCTCAACATATCCTCATGTCAGACATTCGCCTGGGCGACGTGGACACGTGAAGCCAAGCGTCTCGCTCGAGACGTTCTCAACACCTCCTCATGCTAGGCATCTGCCTGGGCAACCTCGACGCGTGACAACAAGCGGTTCGTTCGAGGCATCCTGTACAAATCCTCATGTTAGACATCCGCCTGGGCGATCTGGACACGTGAAAACAAGCGTTTCGCTCAACACATCCTACACACGTCCTCATGCTAGGCATCCGCCTGGGCGACCAGGACACGTGAAAACACGCGACTCGCTCAAGACATTCTCAACACATCCTCACCTTAGACATTCGCCTGGGCGACCTGGACACGCACAAAAAGGCGTCTCGCTCGAGAAGTTCTCAACACCTCCTCACGCTAGGCATCTGCCTGGGCGACCTGGACGCGTGAAAACAAACGCCTCGCTCGAGAGATCCTGCCCAAATCCGCATATTAGACATCCGCCTGGGCGACCTGGACACGTGATACTTAATGCTTCGATCAACACATCCTCAGCATATCCTCATGCTAGACATCCGCCTGGGCGACCTGGACACGTGAAAGCAAGCGTCTCGCTCAAGACATCCTCAACACTTCTTCATGTTAGACATTCGCCTGGACGACCTGGCCAATTGAAACCAAGCGCTTCGCTCGAGACGGTCTCAATACATCCTCAGGCTAGATATCCGCCAGGGCGACCTGGACACGTGAAACCAATCGTCTCGCTCGAGATATTCTCAACACATCTTCATGCTAGTCGTCTGCCTGTGCGACCTGGACGCGTGAAAACAAGCGTCTCGCTCGAGACTTCCTCAAGACCTGGGCACGTGAAGAACAACATCTCACCTGAGACATCCTCTGAATTATGGCCCCCAGGAGAGGACCGATCTATAGCACAACATTATCACTGTGCGACCCTACCTAGGAGTTGGATCATTTAGGAAAGCACCATCTACATATACACCGACAGTTACAGTTACATCTACACCTGCATCTACATCTACATCAACATCCACAGCGAGACTCACAGCTACATCTATACTATGATATGCTATGCTGCGCTATGCTATGCTATGCCATGCTGCGCTATGCTATGCTGTGCTAGGCTATGATATGAGATGCTCTGCTTAGCTATGCCAAGCTATGCTATGATATGAGATGCTATAGTTTGCTGCGCTATGCTATGTTATGATATGTTATGCTATGCTGTGCTGTGCTATGCTATGCTGCGCTGTACTATGCTAACCAATGCTATGCTATGCTGCGCTATGCTATGACATGGTATGCTATGCGATGCTATGCTATGCTGAGCTATGCTATGCTATGCTTGGCTATGCTATGATATGCTTGGCTATGCTGCGCTGCGCTAAGCTAAGCTAAGGCAAGCTAAGCTATGCTAAGCTATGCTAAACTAAGCTAAGCTACGCTAGGCTAAGCTAAGCTAAGCCAAGCCAAGCCAAGCAAAGCCAAGCCAAGCCAAGCCAAGCTAAGCTAAGCTAAGGTAAGCGAGGCTGAGCTATGCTAAGCTAGGCTAGGCAAAGCTAAGCTAACCTGAACTAAGATGAAGCTAAGCTAAGCTAAGATGAAATAAGCTGAGCTAAGATGAGATAAGCAACGCTAAGCTAAGGAAACGTCACTGGGGGAACCGCGGGGCGGATCCTGGGGGAACCGCCCTGGGCGGGGAGCACTGTCCGGGCCTTTGGGAGAACAGGGTAAGAACCCTCTAGGCAGAGCCTAGGTAGGGAACAAGCGTTTCGCTCGAGACATCCTCAACCAATTCTTGCAAAACACAAGCGTTTCGCTCGAGACGTCCGCAACAAACAATACTGCACCATATGTTTTATCGATCGCAATTTCAAACACCAGCCTTTCGCCAGGGACATCCTCAATTTTTTAATTCGCTGACCCTACGCTACCTCATTGTTTATCGCAGGTTAAAGATGCCGGCCCTACGCAAGTCGAGGCCAAGGGGAAATCATCTAAAAGAGAACCCTGGGCCGACGCCCTTTCTGGGAAAATGCTTATCTTATCTTGTGCTTTATCGCTCGGAATTTCCAAAAACAACATTTCGCTCGGGAC